CTCGCTGCTGTTCGTGTTTTCTCGAGGATGTCACTGATGGAAAGCAGAGCCATGGGCACTCGGTGCTCTGCATTCAGGCACTGCCAGCCCAAGGAGGCAGCTGCCACGGGTCACATCTTCAGCTCAGAAACAACGGTCCCACCTTGCTCACCCCAGTCGCTAACGAACCGGCTACAGTCAACTGACATGACCAGAGGGATGCAGAGTGAGGTTCTTTGGTTATGCTCTGAATGTACCACTCTACAAGGCATCAATTTAGCCGGCGCTGACTGTGGTAGCCATTAGCATACAGATCTGATCATCCTGTCTGGTCACCAGCTCCCAACACTGTCATGTGTCTTAATACAGCAAGTCACAGATGAGTTAGCAGCGGACTAAGAAGTACTTCGTGTTTAATGGACATGCAGCAGATAACTAATGTCAATGAGCCTCACAAGCCCGTTCTTCCTTATCTCCCTGTACAGTGTATTAAAGTCACTCTCTAGATAATTCTCTGGGTGTTGGGGACGTTCACAGGCACACGTGCTTTTTTCCTATCAGGGCTTGAGGTCAGATTCTCAGCAAGTATGAATCTGTGGATGCTGATGGGACAAAACCAATTAAAATCAGATTAAGATCTTGCCGTATTCAAACTTAAGACTGGTTGCCATTAAAAGCATAACCCCTGTCAACAGTTAAAAACAGCCCGACCTGATGGATCATCGTCCTGTCTTGTCCCAAATACATGGATAAAAACATTTACATCTGGTAGCTCTCTGTACTAAATGTTTTTATTTCTCAGAGCAGTCCTCTAGACGGGCCTACCTTTTATATCGCTTTTTTATAGGCAATCACTCTAAATACCAACATAAACCCATGAGCCCGTGTGCTCTTTTTCTCAACCTCATATTAATGATTTGGGGCTATCCCTTACTTCTCCCAGCTCCAACCAGACCCCTTTGAAGGCTACGTATCTGGGGAGACTGAAGAGCTCTTCAAAGAACGCAAATTACTTCCCACTAGTCAAAACCCAATAAATTGTCATGGATCACCAACCAAAGGATAGGAAAATGGGACCAGGTCAGTGCCAAAGTCAACAAGATAGAGGGTACTGCAAAATTTTTTACTTCTACTAGATTTTTATCACCGAAGTGAATGTGGACGATGGAAGCAGAGACGATCAGAAACGAAAGCTGAAGCAACTGTTACACAGCCACAGCAGAAAGGGGGAAGGCAGAAGCCACCTCCCAACAGGCTAGCCACAAACTGAGCCAACTCCATCCCTTGCAGGAGCCGCGGCCAGCCTCCATCTCACTTCTCTCTCCAAGGTTGTAAAGAACAGTGGTTCAAGGGGAAAAAACAGCCTTTGCTTAGATGGGCCATCAGGTTTGGGTTTCAGCAGAAAGACCCAGCACATAAGTTCCACCCTGACCCATAAGTAGCGTCTCTGCTCACATCCCCTTCATTTAACAGCAATTACTTGCTCATCACCGGCCCTCTGTCCTGATCCCCACAGCTAACTGAGAGTCTCTTGGGGAGCGTGGGCAAGCGACAACAGATTACAGCTCCAAAGCTTCGGTTTCATAAGGAGTTACAAACCCCTGCACAATACTCTTTCCTTCTGGATTAAGAAAGATTTCCCCCAATGGATTAACCTACTTGAAAGAATTCCACAAACAAAAAGAAAATTCACTCAGAGAGATAAAACTAATTCGGTTAAATAGTCTTGAGTTATGCACCAGATACTGGCTGGACTGTTGCAGAGCAAACTTCACATCGTCATTTATGTCTAACGCAGCTCCCCTCTCACACACGATGCCCCTTCCCCACCAACCACCTCGGGAAGGTCCACACTAATTAAAATGAAAAAATTAAAATGGGAAGGGCTTGTCCCTTGCGGTTATGATGCCCACATCTACCCCTCCCCTTTAAACTCCAAGGCATAGACAATTTCAGGAGTAAGGGGAAGATGTTTCATTTCTTTTTTCTTTCCCATTCCCCCTGTGCCTGCAACAGGCTTCTGGGAGTGGGAAAAGGGGGGAAGGTTTTGGGGAGGATACCTCATGGCTTGAAATATCCACCTGTGCAATACTGCTACAACCGCCAGGCTCCTCTGCTCCCTCCTCTCCCCACTCTCACACCATTCTCTGCCAGGCTCCAAGAGCGGAGCTGATGGCTGATGCCTGGGATTTAAGAAAAAGATTCTGTAACAGCATTTTCCTGCTCGCACTTCTGAAGGATTGGTAAAAGACCCCCAAGGATGCTCAGTGGCGGCCAGGAAATCAAGGGGTCCCCTGTGTTACTAAGTTTGTCCCCATCCTCCTCTACATAATTTCCTCTTTCTTGCCTAGCACGTGCCGTTTTTCCCCCCCGTCATATCTTCTAAGCTGCAGCTCCAGCCCCCTTGTGCCTTAAGTGGTTTTCTCCTCCTCTCTGAAGGGCTCAGGAGTCAGGATTTGGTTTCTCCAGCTGTGTGGATGCTCCCCACAGCTGTGCTCTGTTGGAACATTTGGCCTACCTACCCTGAAACAGCGAGAAAAAGGAGAGGCAGGGAATCTCTCCAGCCTTCAGGTCCTCCCCCCCCCAAACAACAAGTTCATAAATGGCAAACAAAACACAGAATTGCGATTAGCTTGCGGGGAGAACTGATTATGACTTGTGCTCAGCCGGCTTAGACTGAAGCTCCACCGATGGAGCAGCGGTTTTACAATTCGGAGAGAACGCAGCCGTGAGGTATTTTTCTGTCCATTTAGACAAGTAGATAGTTTCAAGCCTTGGTTAACCAGGACTTAAAGGAAAAGTAGTTTCAACTTCTGATGACTTCCCTTTGGGCCCACTCCCCACCCCCTATCACCTTCTCCTGCCCAAAACTCGGGTCTTCCTCCCGCACCGAGACCTTCTGATAAAATGCCACCACAGAGCCAACTTCAGTTTGTACTTAAACATTCGTCAACATGGAATGGCTGTCGGGCATTCGGTGCATTCTCTTAGCCAACGCCAGAACAGAGAGAGAAGCAGCCAGGGTCAACTCACAAACAGATACAAAGCAAAGAGACAGAGAGACAGAAATTTAGAGGCCAGTCACCAATAAAGATGGAGAAGGGTGTGAAGATGCTCCCAAACTGCAGAGCCTCTAAATGCATGGAACCAAGCGTTCAGTCACTCTCTCACTCTTGGATATAATGTTCGGTTGGATGGCATTCTCTTACACGCTGGTAGGGCTGGGCTCTTTCCATTCAATCCCAGCCATTATCCTTGATCATGTGAGCTAGTTCAATGATGTATTTGCCTTCTTTATACTTCTGGCTGCTTTCAAAAGCGTGTTCCTAGAAAAAAAGGAGAAAGAATGAGATCAAGATGGTATCTGAAGGTAAAATCACAGTTACAGATCAGATCCGGGAATGCTGGTAGAAGTCTTAGCCTTGTCTACAGAGTAAAACAGTCAAACTGCAGGTCCTCCTGTTGGCTTTCAGGAAAATTACATTGGAAGAATCTTAAATCCTGCTTCTAGCTGTCTTTACAAGCTGGAAAAAAAGAACAATCAGCAGCATGTAAACATGCAGCTTTCTGTAGGCCAACGGCAACTGCTCCTTGAACTATGCCTTAGGAATCATTGGTGATAAAATCCACCTCTCTCTAGGGGGGTCTAAGAATTTATTAATGTTTGTTAAGAATGCAGAGGTCCTCTGATGAAACATGTTGTAAAAGCACTACCATCGGGAACGAGACAGATTACGGTAAACTTGACGTGGAAATGGAGCAAACGGGCACCAAGGGACAAGAAGGACCCACTCTGCACAGATGCGAGCTCGCAGCTGCAGAAAAACACAGTGCTTCAACGCTGCAGAGCTGCAGAAGGAAATCTATGGGATCCCTAACCAGGCGGGACTCCCGTTATCGAGACTGCATCCTCAAAAGCAGTTCAGCTCTGCTCAGGTGTGCTGTTTGCGTGCACGTAACACAGCTGAAAGAATGTAATTCTATTGCTGGAGAGGCTTGGGCTTACTGCTATGTTTACAAAATTCTGTATTTTGTTTTACAATAAACTCAATTTACGTACTTAGTGTCCTTCTCCATTTGTGAGATCCATGCTGTGTTTCTGCATGAATTCCTACCACATCAATTTTTGATACTTTACTTTTTATAGCCTTTCAACTGATACATTAAAGAATATTTCTGTCCAGAGGCCACAGATACAATATACATTTTGTTTAGACACTGGTCAAAATGTTTTGACAAACAAGTACACTGCGTGCCTCCTGAAGCAGAAATTAGGTTGTAGCATAAGCCTTTATTTGAAGGTAATTGAATTTATGAAGGGCAAGAGACAGCAAACAGATAAACTCATGTTCAATAGCATTTCCAGTGGGAAGGACACAGGATTAACAATATATGGATCATTCTATTATTTTGATATCATCTGGGAAAAAAGACAATATGAACCACAAGACTGATTGAAGTTATCCTCATTTATGTTAAGTATCACTAAGGGACGCCCACCACAATCAGGCCCACAGTGTATATTCTTAGTAAAAAAACACATTAGCCACAAAGAGCTCCTGCTCTGAATGGATGCAACAAACACAAGATAGGAGGGAAAATGGAAACGCAGGGAGGAAAAAAAACATGGCTACAGACCAGAACCTGCATTTCTGGTTCCCAGGTTAAGGGTCTTTCCACGAGACCACATTACCATACACACACCTTCGGAAAGGGCTGGAGCAAAGATGTTCACAGGAAAAAAAAAAAGGATACTGATACTCACATATTTCCAACCCAGTGTGGTTTTGCAGTTTTCACAGTAAATATCTGCAACTGCATGTAATCCTGTTAATAACACCCGCTCCTCTGCAGGGCCACAACCCACATTAACTCTGGGGAAAAAGGAGAGATGCTCCCTATTAGTATGTCTTTCCACAGCAAGACACTACAATGAAGCTGACAGCAATTTTATTGCCATATTTGAAAACATAAGCAGGAGGTTCGAGATACTGAGTACCACAGCTGTGCCCAAAACAAAGACCTCTTGCAGTTCCCGAACAGAATGAAAAGGTAAAACAGAATTTTTATTCAACTAAAAATTCTATAAAGCTTTGAACAGAAGATTAATAACATTCTACTAAATTGCACTAATTATGCATTTGAGAAAGATTTTCATTTCCAAATTGATAAAATGGTACTTTTACTTTTCCAAATGGAAACTTGAATAATCTAACTGAAATCAGCAGTTCTTCTGAAAGACATCCCAGCAGTGACCTCACAAAAACTATTTTCAGTTATTGGGAAAATTATACTTATTTTTTATGCTAGCTCTAAAAAGTAAGTTCGTATTTAGATATAATTTTTTCTCTATATTTATGAAACTTGGACTCTTTGGTCTAACTACATTCTCTGAGAAGAGAATGACTCATCCATTAGCTCTTCCTTCTCAATCTGATGATGAAAAAACCACCTTTTCCTAGCTGCTTATCTGATACCTCAACATAAAATCAAATATGAATAAGTGCTATTTCCTGCCTCTTTCTCCAACCATTTTCAGCAGGCTCCCAAGTCTTAGGCAGAGGTTTTCTAAAGGAAGACTATCCTTTTGTTTTCTTCATCATGAGGGTTTTCTTAAATCTATCCTAAGAGATGCAGAGGTGACATGTACGAAGTTCTACTCACACTGAATTGAAGAGGTACGCTCGTCCTTGGCTTCCTTGGAAGGACTGAAAGGCAAGAAAACAAAATTCAGTGGGCTGGTTGACAGAAATAAGGCTAAACCAGGACCTGCCCGCAACGACTGCATTAATGGTAGTTATAGCAACTGTTAGCCAGGGCCTGAGAAATGCACATCGTTACAGTCTTCGAGATGGAAAGAGCACAAAGCGAAATGTCAGGAGGAGATGAGCACTGACGAACAGAGGTCTTGTCCTGCAGACGGGAAGGGAGCGGCTGCCTCCAGTTCTAATGCCTGCCTATTTCACAAGGCGCACTGGCAGCCCACTGGGAACTTCACCTGAGGTTACCAGCGTTTCCAGTATTGTACAAGCCCAATATACTTTTCAAGAGTTAAGCTCTTTTCTCTCTCATATCCCAGCAACGCCTATTTTCACCCTTTCAGTTCTGTTTATGAATTTCACACTAATGCCTCAACCCTACCTAATGCAGCCTTGCTGCCAAATACTGATTTGAATCTCTTTTCTAAAAACAAGGTGCTCACAGAGGCTTCCTGTTGCACTGCCAGTTTTGAAACACCGCTGTTGCACTTGACGGCACGTGAATTCCCCTTAGGAACACTGCACAGACAGATGCTGCACCAAACTGAGAGACTGGGACCTATTTGTGTAAGGTGCTGTGCACACAAATACAACCTCTCCTCTAGTAATTTTACAAAAGACTTAACCTTGCTGAGGTGTCTGCAAGCCTTCATATTCCCACTGATGCCAGGGAGATCTTCAGGACGGGATCTAAGCATAGGATGAGATACAACTGGATAGAGATGAATGTAGACAAGAGAGAACCACACAGCAGCAAAACCAAACCAGGTAATCGCCTGGATAATCGTGGCACATCCTCTCTGCCCCATGTTTCCTCGGGATCTTACAGCATCACCATGAAAAGGCAGTGTTTTGAAGACAGCGGGCAGGACACTCCAGGTAGCCAGGACACTTCCAAGAGCCAGCAGGCTCCATTTCGGTCAAGTCTGTAACATTACCCTGTGACGGTGCCTCGCTTACAAGAGCAGGCTCACACACAGCAAGTGCTACCTGCATTTTTAATGTACTTTGACAAGCACACACTGAATTAAACATTTGGTGCTTATGGGCAAGAGCACAGTTGCTCTCTGCACACAAGTTACCTTATGGTACATCAGGGAATGTATGCACTGAGGGGCAAGGAGCTGGTAAAGTCAAAGAGCAGCTTTTCTGGACCATTTAATCCTTTACCTTGCACCTTACCAGGAACCTTGGAATATTTAATCATTTTCTTAAAACCTCAGCTTCTACAGATGAGCAATGATTTCAGACTGAATACCCTTAAAAGGGGGGAGACAGAGCTTTGAGAGAAAAGAGAAACGTTCAAGGTTTAACATCCCTGGCCCACTAACACCGGTTATTTTTCTAAGTTAAGAGTGACCTGACCCTGGGACAGCACAAACTTGCTCTCCCTGTGTCACATAAAGCAATCTCTGGGAGGTCCCTGCCCTTCCCAGGTTGTCCCCTTCCATCAGTCCAGCCCTAGGGATGCACCCCTACGCCTGCCCAACCGCTGCCTCACGGAGAAGCAAAGTCAAAGTCATGCCCGAGAACCAGCAAGCCTGTGGATGGATGCGGACCGTGTTACTTACATCCACACGCATCTGCGTTAATCAACTGCCTCCTGCCTCCTCCGCACTGGGGAGGCTGCTGCATGTTTCCAGCTAACGGTCCTAATTCCCAGAGCTGGGGTACCAACCCATTAGCTCCAGCGAGCATTTCTTGGGTGCTGCCTGGGTTAACGGCAAGGAGCTCTGTAGCAGCCTGTAATACGTTCTCTCCATCATGAGTCCTGTTCATGTGAAAGGCAGAGACAGAAAATTCACTCACTAGCAGGAGAGAATAAAACACATTGAAGGTGTGATTTAAAACTGCCCTGACAAGAGAACAAATACAGCCTGTCATGGTGTTTAGCCTGGTGCCCTTCTTGGTGTCAAGGTACTCTCCAGAAGTGGCAAAGGCCTACTGAAGATCCCCAGTTGCAAGAACGTACACAAAAGGCTCCTCACCACGGAGCAGAGGCACTTCTGTGGACAAACACAATGCCACGGGGCATGCAGGCAGGGAGCCACATCCAGCAATGAAAGCTGACTGTGAGGTCTGGATGGCAGCAAGGGCTCTGCCAGCTATCAAGTCACTGCCTGGCAAAAGAATTGACTCGGTCCTGGAGGAATAACTGTTCTTCACAGGAATCCGAAGCCCAATATTAGTTGCCACCCAGGCCACAGAAGAGCCACTCTGGATTCAGAGGATGCCTGAGGCACTTGGATATCTCTTTCACTCAGACAAAAGCAGTGCCCTGAGGAATGCCTCTTTTCTTGGGCAAGAATTAAATAGGACACATGGCTCAAACATGTTTGTGTAATTGCATTTATTAGAGAAGCTTCTTTTAATCCTTCTGCAGCACTCAAGTTCTTATTGTTATTGTCAGCTGGCTGATACCCCACATGCCAACTAGGTCTAGCCTGACTGCTACAAAACACACGCTGCATTGTTTCAGCGTCCTGTGTGGTAAAGTAGGAACCAACACAAAGCTGATGCCCCCCCAGGCCAAAAAGAAGAGTCCAAGCCAGACCCAGGCAAACAGCAGGGGCACTGGCTGTCCACGCTGCAGAAGAGGGATACCAGCCTGGAAGGACGGACTGCGGATGGGGTACAGGGATGAAACAGAAGGTCCCACAGCAACATGTGTGCCATCACAGCAAAATGAAAGCAGATGAAGCTCGCTAACCACCCAGTCCTTCCCAGTAAATACTTTTCCATAAACACCAAAGTGACTAAGTTTGCCAATAACAACAACCATGGGAGCAAAGTTTTTATTGCTACAGAAATAGGATTTTCCGTTACTGCTGTACAAAGGCCTGTCTTTAATAAACAACAAAACCAAACCCATCAGCTTTGTGTTCAGGGCTCAGTGGACACTATTCCAGCCCACTCCCAGGGGACAGTAGCATCCTTTCAGAGGTGCCCTTCCTTCCAGCTCAAGCCAGCGCTTTAGGGTATCTAAGGGCGGTCACTGCAAAAAGAAAAATCACATGAATTATCTCCTGTCCAAGTCGAACTTTTCAACATACCACTGCTTAGCTTTCAGTGCTGCTGCCTGTCTTAATATTCACCTTCCAGCTAGCTAAGGATTTGGCACATCATATAAAAAGAAGTGAGAAAGATCTGGCAACCACCTCAAGTTCACCAGTGCATTTGCTCTCTGCAAGACTAAACTGACTGTACCTTTATAAAGGTAGCACAAGGCAGGTTTTATATGGGTGTTGTAACCTCAACATTTTCTGGAGATGTTCCTTCTCTTCTGGCACTCCAGAAAAACTGGCACATGCTGTAATGGGCGCTATGAAATCAGAAGAAACAGATCTATTTATACACAAACAGATGTTCTTTTCTTTGGTGTTTTGTTTTTTTTTTATTTCATTTAAAAAGCACACAAAGAGATTTCCACAACACACTTGGTTTTCCCTGAACGACGAGCAGTAAGACCTACTTTCTGTGCTATGCATTTTCTCTATGCACGTTCTCTTGATACACATTCCAAGGTGTATCTCACACACACGCTTACAAATCCAGACTTCTTATCCTCTAAAACAACAGCTCCTGGCATCACTTTCCAGCTAAAAGAAATGGAAAGGATTTTTTTGTTGTTGCTTCCCACTGAAAGCCCAAGCACATATTTTCCTCTGCACTGCTAACGCTCAGTGTCTGGCTGGAAACACATCTGTACATGCCAACAACAAAGCTCTCCCTCCCCATCCTGCCTGAGCCCTCTAAAAAACAATAGACGCTTCTGAGGTGTGCAATACACAACAGCTTTCTCCTCCTGACTACTCACATTCAAAAATCTTCCCCACTCCTGGGTGCTCCACTCAGCATGAAGGCATCTAAAAGCTGCAGGGCCTAAGCAGTGCTGATTTGAGCACCCAGGTGGGAAACCACAAGCCTGGAGTCAGCTATTTGGCCGCAGATCCTCGCCTGCCAAGCTGTCTCTCGTTATGGCAGAAGCTCCATGTTAAGATGCCTTTGGCAGCTGCTCTGGTTTAAGAAGTTCCTATCACCCAATTTACAGACACTCATTATGGCCCCCTCGGCTGTGCTGATTCCAAATTAGATCTGTGAAATCATTATTTTTAAAAACAAATACTTGGTGGGGGGTGGGTGAGTTTGAGGGAAACAGTTTTTTCTCCTTGTACCATATAATGGATCCAGTTTAAAGGGCAATCACACAGACTACTTAATAATCACAGTATGGGGGCAGTTCAGAACTCACAGTTCAGAGTAGGAAGTTCTCAAACTAAATTTGCTGGCAAAGAAGGACAGTGCAGAACTGCAGCCCTAGTGAGAGACAGTCTGCAGGATAGGGAGTTTGGGTTTCACAGATGCTGTTAAACCAGATCTGCCGCAGAAGGAAGCGTAACGCGCAGCCAGCATCCAAGAAGTGCCAGCTCCTTTGCGGCAGACATGTTCTGCTTGCTAGAGATGGACTCGGCCTGCAAGACTCAAAGCTGAATCCTTATATATTCAAAACCCATGACCTTGGGAGCTGTCAGTTTGGTTTAGTCCATCTGTTATATTCTGGCCTCAATCTGAAGTGCTGAATCTACCATTCTGTTTGCTCTGAGCAACATGCATGACTCCTTCAGAGCCTTCTTCAATGGAGCAAGAGCACGGAGACCACCACAGACACAGAGAAGGGCTATGCCCCTCCATCACTCCAGCCTGTTTCACGTTCCACCTGCCTTCCCACCGCCATCAGACCTTCGCACTTGCACATTCCCGTTACTGGTGACCGCCAGAGATGCAGAAGGGAATTTTTACATTCTATCAGTACAGCCAGGGAAAGGCATGAATTCTGAATGTGCTCCAAACACGCCTACGCACCATACCCCTTTTCCCTAGTACCTACAGCTTCTCATTCACTGCACAGCCCACTCAGCAGTTCTACACGCTGAACAGATGATAGGATT